CTATAAATAGGAAACAATAGAAATGGGGGAGGGGATTGATTTTCTCCCTATTTTCTTAGAGCTTGGCCGAAAATCCTAAGAGAGAAAAAGAGAAGAAAAGTTCTTCCAATTTTCCCAATTCTTTCACATACATGTGCTGATAGTGAAATAATACAAAATTAGCGAGTGATCGTTTTAATAGTTATACCTTGAGCCGACACTCATTGTCTTGCGAAATCAATGAGTAGACGAGGAAGGCTTATGTGTTCTAAGAAAGCTTTTAGAGCGAGGAACGTGTTGTTTTTCGAATTGAATTCGGATGCAGAAGCGTGGGGATAGCAGATCAAGTATAACAAAAATTTTCATAAAACCTTTGAGATACTCTATAGATTATATTAATTTATGCACGAATAAATTAATCACATTAATTCATTTATTAAGAACTCAATTACGAATAATACCTGGCGGCCGATTAAGATGATAACTTGAGTTCTTTGATCTCGAACAATCCTTGCTCCAAAGCCTTGTGTTTAGAAAACCAATGTCTTCCACGTCAATTTCTAGAATCCACGAAGACGTGTGTGTGGGCACACCTGAGACAAAACGAGTTAGAATAAAGACTCGAATTTCCACAAACACCAACGCATGCACGATGTGGAATTTTTGGAGAAAAAATATTTTTCCTCTCACTCTATAGAGAATTTCGGCCACACTTAAAAAAATAGGTCAAAAATTGTGTTCAAAAATTGTGTCTCAATATTTTATATCATTCTCTTATTTATAGAGTAGAAGTCAAACTTTTAGAAGGAATCCAATCTCTATCTCCAAGATAAAACTTGTTAATTATCTCTTATTTGAATTTGGAACAATATCTCCTCTTCCTTATCCTTAATGTGGCCGGCCATGCATGGAGATTCTCATATCTGTATGATGGCAATTTCAGAAAGGGAAGGAAGAGAAAATCATCCTTTATCCTGTAGTCTAATTTTAATTCAAATTCAAATTCCAATTTAAGTCAAACTTAAATTAATTTGAATTCTAAATTTAACAGCTTATCAAATAAGTTTAAAAGGATAAATTTAAATTATGTTCACAATTCAAATTCAAATTTAAATAATCACATTATTTAAATAATAATTAATTCTCAATTAATTATTTTCGAGTGTTTAATTTTAGAATTCCTTAATTTTAAAATTCTCATTTTGCCCTTTGTGTTTGGTAGAATTACAAGGACGATGCGGGGACTAATGGACCTATAATTCCGAGCTCTAATAAAATTAATAATTAATTAAACACTTTAATTAATTAATTAATTCTATTAATTCCAATAGTTACTCCACTATAAACTTGACATTGTACTCTCAAAATTATAGACATAAATTACTTCTAAACTGTGAAGTGTCCATTTGATATAGTCACTGCATATAGATCAATCCTCCATAAATAATTCATAATTAGAGCTAGGTAAAATCCGTTAACCTCTCTAATTATATCTTCATCCTTGAGTACTATTGATTCTCTAATAGATGGTGATTCATAAAACACATTTATGAACCAGAGCGCTCTTACTAATCCAAGTACCGAATCAACACTAAAGAGAATTATTTATCTGCTTCTTTCTTAAGAAGGAATAGATTCCATCTCATATAATAATATTTCCAGCTACCTATTTCATCATGTCTCTAAAATACAAGGAATATGATTCAGGGTCTCAGAATCCATACCAAGTAAATCAAAAGACACAAATCCATAAATAGGAGTTTGTTAAGAACTCAGGATTAAGATCATTCTATATATGACCATCGGTAGACTCAATTAGAATTTCTATACTTAACGAAAATTATTAGAAATTCATAGTGTCTGTGTCCCTGTTCCATATAATCTTTTTATGCGAAATACACCCATTCAATATCTCACCATATTAACAGTGCAGATAACTCCATTCCATTCGAAATGGAAATGACATATATTAGTAATGTTTTAATTAAAGACTCCAAACTTTAATTAAATTCACTATGAATATTATTTTTTTGATTATTATCCTTAAACATTATCCTCTCGCATATAACACTTATATACAATGTTTAAGGTTACATAAATAATCATGAAATTTTCATTGATATTCATAAAATATTCACAAATATATATACACATAAAATGATGAATAAACTCTTTTATTAAATAAGTAATAAATGTCATATTACATCTCATGCTTCTAGGACACCATTCCCAACATAATGTTCACTAGCCAAAGACCTCAAGTTATTTTCCTAATCGTTAGCAAGGTATCTTTTCTTACATATTAATGAGATTAAATTGTTTTGGCATAAATTAATATAATCTATAGCGTATTCAAAAGGTTTTATGAAAATTTGTTGTTATACACAATCCGTACTACCACGCTTCCGCATTCGAAAACGTTTTGAAAACCAACAAGCTTAAGGTGCGATAGCCTTACTACCCATTCTGGAGTCAGCTGTAATGAGATCTTTCTAGCTCTGAAGGAAGGATGCGAAACAAAGAATGATTGCTTACGTGGACTATCACGCTACACTTCATAGCCCTCGCGACCAATGGGGCCAATGTTGACAGTCGCTTTTTTACAAGGTCCATACAAGGGTCCAAGTCTAATAATTATGTCCCATGACACTATTGGGCTCGCTTTGTGGACCTACACCATGCTTGGGAAACTCGCGTGGGCTGTGGTTTGGTTTACCATGGGTAATTGAATGGGCCCATTTATTTCTTAGTCAGATTTGATTTTATGTCCTACTTGGGGGGTTTTAAAATAATTGGACTAAGGAATGAATAGGTGATGGAGAATTCAACCCCTAAAAGCCTATGTTTACCTTTTCAGAGTCTTAAAAACCCTTTCCTAAGTCCTAAATTGAGTCATGGAATGATAACTCCAAGAGATTAGAGTTATCTTCTGCATTTTTAGCTTAAAGTTTGCTTAGCCAAGAGTGTATTTCATTGTTTTCTTCTGTGTTTTAACTTAGATTTTATGGGTTTGCATTTTATCTTGCTAAATTATGTACTTGTGCTGCTCTTGGGTTAAGGAGTAAATTGAGTCAAAAAGAGGCTAAAATATGTCTAAGTTTTAATTTTACAAATTGCAGGGTGAAAGCAGTAACATTCTGCCGCAGTGTTTTAGGTGCAGCTGGTAAGTGGGATGACATTAACGCACTACCTAGAGGAAAAGGACAAAATCCCATGTGAGCTGATTGAGCTGTACAGCAGTGTGGACCACTGTACCTCTTATCAAATGACAACTTAGCCTTTTTGTTACCTTAGAAGGGATTGTTTTTAGGAGAGAGGCAAGCAACCGCCAAGTACAAGAGGGAAAAATAGAAGGAAATTGGTAGTACATTACGAGAGCCAGAAATTGAAAATACCAGAGACGTGAGAAAGAGCAAGAGAGAGCAACTGAGAGGAAGACCCGAAGAGAAGGACATGGAGAAATTCTAGAAGATCCAAGTTCTAGCTTATCATTCTTTCTTCTCTCTGTTAGCTTGGTTCTTCTATTATTTTGATATTGATTAAGACATGGATTATTTTTGAAATCTGGTTATTGTAAACCTCAGTATGAACTAATTTGTTTTAGCTAGGCATGCTAATAGAACCAAAGTTGTAAGGAGGAAAGTTTGTTTATGAAATGCTATTGATTTATTATTCATGTTCATTCATGTGTGTTAATGCTTATTTTTATGCTTGATTGCCCATCAATTATAGGATACTAGACTTAGATTAATACTGAAAAGGTTAATTTGAGTTGGATGTAACATGTATGATGCTTGTACAGTAATCTTGTTTTAGTTATTGATTAGTGAATGGTATAGGGATATATTATTCACCTTGCATAACCCAAAGAAAACGGAGCTTAAATCTGCATTCTGAGAACTGGATTCACATAGGAATATGCTGAAAAAAGTTTGAAGAATTTTTAGTCATAATTAATTCGGAAGAATTTTATGCAATAAAAGAGTTTCTGTTTACAGGGGTGGTAATTGCTGTAGCATTTCGGTAACATTCTCTGGCAGACTTGCAACTGAGGGGAAATTAGTAGACCTAGCTCATTTAAATCACATATTTACAAACCATAAATACATTCTTATTATTTTTAGTAACTTTTGGTTACATTTATTTTGTACCCATTTCTTTACATCAGTTTAGTGAATTTTTATTCAACTTATTATTTATTTGATTTGTTGATTGCATAACTTCCATAACATATTTTTGATGATACAATCTCTGTGGGACAATATATGTACTTCAGTACACTTGATTACTTGTACGATCTGTGCACTTACGGATTCACACAACAAGTTTTTGGCGCCGTTGCCGGGGATTGAAATCATTGAAAGTATTTGTAGAAGTTATTTTGCTTTCGTTTTGTTTACTTTATTCTTATTCTCTTGACTTGCGGTCACTTTCAGATTTTTGAAATTCTTTGCATGACTAACCAGCGAGACCGTGAGTTGCTGCCCTTAGATCCAGAGATTGAAAGGACATTTTTAGCTAGGAGAAGGGAGCAGTAAGGCTTGGATGTTGTCGACGGTATGGCAAAGGGAGCAGCCGTGAATGTGGGCAATAATGGGCAACAACTAAATACCAACAATGTTGTTCCCCAACCAGCACCGGTAGATGATAGGGATATGGCCATCAGAGAATATGTCGTGCCTATTTTACATGGTCTCAACCCGAGTATCGTTAGGCCAGAGATACCGGCACCTCAGTTTGAGCTTAAACCGGTCGTGTTTCAAATGTTGCAAACTGTAGGCTAATTTAGTGGCATTGCAACTGAAGATCCCCACATCCATCTTCGGTTATTCATGGAAGTGAGTGACTCCTTCAAGCTATCAGGGGTGATAGATGAAGCTTTGAGGCTGAAATTATTCCCTAATTTCTTGAGGGATAGAGCTAGAGCATGGCAAAATTCTTTGCAATCAGATTCAGTGGCGACATGGAATGATTTGGCAGAAAAATTCCTCATAAAATACTTCCCTCCAACCAAGAATGCAAAGCTGATACGACATTACCTCAATCCAACAGGCAGGTAGGGAATCATTGTATGAAACATGGGAGAGATTCAAAGAGTTATTATGGAAGTACCCTCATCATGGGATCCCCCATTGGGTTCAAATGGAGACAATCTATAATGGGCTTAATGGGCAAACACGTACTATAATTAGCCGTAGCTAATAGAGCTATTTTGGCCAAGTCTTACAATGAAGCTTACGAGATCTTGGAGATGATGGCTAATAATAATTATCAATGGCCAACCGAGTGACTTAATGCTAGGGAGGCCGCTGGAATTCATGATGTTGATACCATTACTATACTTGTCGGCTCAAATGTCATCTTTAACGAATATGCTAAAAATGATTAATATGTCGGCAGGTGTAAATTCGGTGCAAACTGCTAGAGTCTCATGTGTTTACTATGAAGAGGGACATTTGTATGAAGATTGCCCTTCTAATCTAGTTTCTATGTGCTATGTGGCTAACTTCAACAGGAATAGCAATCCTTATTCGAGCTCTCACAATCAAGGGTTGAGGCAACATCCAAACTTAGCATGGAGTAATCAAGGAGCAAGTTCTAGTGGAGCCAATGCTTATCACAGACCCACATATCCTCCAGGGTATCCACCTCAGCATTAGAGAACTTAAGCCGCAGATCAATCCAACTCCTTGGAGAGTTTGCTAAAAGAATTTATTGCTATGAGTGAAGCCAAAATCCAGAGTCATGATGCAAAATTGAGGAATTTAGAAAACCAGATTGGACAGATGGCTAATTCTCTGAACAACTGACCTCAAGGCTCTCTCCTAAGTAATACTGAAGATCTAAGAAGAGAAAGGAAAGAACCGTGTAAAGCTAATTCACTAAGGAGTGGAAAAGAGTTGGAGCCAAAGATAAGACCCAAGGCTGTGCAGACAGAGGCCACTTCAATCCAAGAAGAGGGGGATCAAATTCAACCGCCAGAAGAACAACCAAGTCAGCACTAATCAGATTTGGAACTGTAGAAAGATGCAACGGCTGTGTTTGGAGTTATTTTTATTTTTCACATTTTTCGAGAACAAAAAAATGAAAACGGAAGAGAAACGACATTTGGCAATATTAAAGATAAAAAATGAAAATGAAAATGATTTTTTGGATTAATGTAAAATGGGAGAGAAATGAAAAATAACTTTTAGTCGTTTTTCATTTTTTGTTTCCGTTTTCTCATCTCTCGAGCAGAAAGAGAGAGAGAGAGAGCGAGAGACATTAATGGATTTTTTATACTGAAAAATAATCTCTTGATAAAACTACCAAATGTATTTTCAAAAATTAATTCTGTCTGAAATTAAAAATGTTTTCATTTCCATTTTCATACAAAAAACAAAATCATTTTGTAACGAGTTCTAAACGTACCCAATATTTCCGCAGCATTCTACAGCAAAAGGCAGCAATAACAGACCCCCACCACCATTTTCACTGTGGTTTCAAAAACAACAGAAGGATTGGCAGTTTCGCAAGGTTTTAGATGTCTTGAAGTAGCTACATATCAACATACCATTGGTTGAGGCCCTAGAACAGATGCTGAATTATGCTAAGTTCATGAATGACTTGGTTACCAAAAAATACAGGCTTGGGGAGTTTGAAACGGTGGCCTTGACTGAAGAATGCAGTGCAATATTGCAAAACAAGCTTCCTCCAAAATTAAGGGACCTAGGGAGCTTCACAATCCCATGTTCTATTGGGAACCAGTACTTTGGAAAGGCATTATGTGACTTATGAGCAAGCATTAATCTTATGTTGATGTCTATCTTTAAGAAGTTGGGAATTCGTGAAGTAAGGCCTACTACTGTTTCATTACAGTTTACAGATAGATCAATTTCACTTCCTGAGGGAAAGATTGAGGATGTCCTTTTGAAGGTGGATAAGTTCATTTTTCTGGCAGATTTCATAATCCTTAACTACGAAGCAATAGAGAAGTACCTATAATCTTGGGGAGACCATTCCTCGCTACCAGCCGCACCGTGATTGATGTACAAAAAAAAGAACTGGCCATGAGGGTATAGGAAGAGCATGTCAGATTCAATGTGTTCAAGGCAATAAAGTTCCCAAATGAGATTGAGGAATGTTCAACCATTTCAGTTGTTGACTCTTTGGTGGCTGAAAAGTTTGAGCAAGGTAACCTAGACGAGGCTGAAGATGAAGCTGTTGAGCAAATAGATTGGTTAGAGGCCAATTCAACAATGCAGGGTTCCACATGGAAGTTTGAGCCTTTGGATTTGTCAGAACGCGAACACAAGCCATCATGGCCATCAAGTGAAGAAATACGAGTCCTAGAACTTAAACATTTGCCGTCGCATTGAGGTATGCCTACTTGGCGGTATATTCCACCCTTCCTGTAATCATTTATGTTGTATTGACAGAGGATCAAGAAGAGAAGTTGCTCAATGTTTTGGGAGGATTCAAGGGAGCTATAGGTTGGACAATTGCGGACATAAAGGGTATAAGTCCCTTATTTTGCATGCGCAAGATTCTACTTGAGGATGATCAGAAAGGGTCCATAGAAGGTAAAAGAAGATTGAATCCAATCATGAGGGAGGCGCAAGAGTCGTTGTTGGAGGATGAAAAAACACAAGAAATCACTAACTTGAGCTCATCAATCGTTCTAACATGCACACTGCCATCCGACCCATTTTGGCCATCATCATCACCACCACCATACTACATTCTTTATGAGCTTAAACTAAAAATGAAGTTCTCCAATCAAGCTCATCACCTTCAGAAGCCAAATCTTGTTGGTGCAACGTGCCTAAATTATAAAAATCATGCCAAGCTTGAGGGCATCACAATCAAAGATCCCATTTGTAGTGTTGTATGACACTTACTATGGGCGGATGCCACTCTAAACGTCCGGTTGAAGACGTTAAAGCAAGCGCTCTGCGGGAGGCAACCCAAGTTTTCGAAACATTTTCTTGTTTTCCTTCCTTTCAAGTTTTAGTTTTTATTTTTTAAAACTTTTTACTTTGTTTTAGTGCTTCTCTTTTGTAGGTGCAAGTGTCCAAGCTTTAGGAATGGATTCAATTTAAGAGAGAGAGCAAGCATTGAAGCCTAAGCGCCAAATTGACATAGGCAAGTTTCTTAAACCTTTCCTTGTGTTTTTGATTGCCTACCCATTGAGGATATTGCGCTTGATAAGTTTGGGGGGAGAACTTTGGTTGTCTTTGTATCTTAAAAAAAAAAATAGACTCTTGTGTTTTTTTTATGTTTGGTGTTTTTTTTTTTGGTGAATTCTCTTCGACCCATGATGAATGTGATTGGATTGAGCATAGCTTTTAGAAAAGGATGATTTATACTTAGTTTTGTGCTTAGAATCAATTGATTGTCTTATTCAAAGATTGTGATTTTCTTCATTTGAGCACTTAGCCTAGTGTTATTGATTCATTGAATTTCTAGAGAAATATTGTGTAAATGTGTTTTATTCTTATTTCTCACAAGCTCTAGAACTTGCTTGATGAACTCTTAAGGCGAAATCCTAGATTAACACTTTACCGAGAAAATGATTTAGGCCATCTTTGGACCGCTTGAGCTTTTCGGGCCTACCTTGATTCATTATATCCCTAGTATACCTTGTTGAGCCTATTTATACCGTTTTCTTTGTTACCTACATCTTTAGCCTAGCCTATTCAATAATCTCTAACTTTTTACCCCTCACCTATAAGCATGTTAATCATTCTAGGACACATTGAGTAGTGTTAGTATATGGGAGGAAGGGTGGTGTTGTGAAAATTTTTGTGTTGTATTTGTATAAAAAAAAAAAAAAGAGAAAAGTATAATAAAAAAAAATGAATGAACATTGGGAGTGTTATATACCCTCTTTGCTCTTTTACAACATTGAGGACAATGTTGATTTTAAGTTTAGGGGTAAGGGGAGCTTGTTCAAAAAATAAAAAATTGCTTCGCCGTTTTGGTATGCTTAGTAACCAAGACAAGAGCAAGCAAAAGCGCTTTAGATTGTGACTTTAATGAGTAACCGGGTGTCTTCATCACAAATATTGGCATTTGCGTAAAAAGGCAATTATGGCATTTCAAGGAGATTAAAGAAAAAAGACAAATGATGAAGAAGATAGGGGTAATGAGAAAGAAATGGTTGACAACGGAAAGTAAAAGTTAAGTTTGGGGGTGTTACTTGGGTATGTTATTTGAGCCTCTCTAAGGTCCTAGAATTATTGATGTGTTTTAAGGGTGAATTGAGCCAAAATATCATTTCATATCCTACCTTCACCCTAGCCTATCATTTCAAGCCTAAAATGTCTTATTGATCCTTGGTAGTGTGTTGATCTACATTAGTGGAGAGAGTGTTGAAAAGTGAGCCTATGGAGTTTGAAATTCATTTATAGAGATTCTCAGCTTAGAGCATGTGTGTATGGTCCTATCTCGATTGACAATGATGATATCGCACTTGGCTGCTACACACACATAGAGGAAAGGTCAATTGAAGAAGAGGCAATCTTTTGAAGTTAAGATCAACACTTGGTTGGAAATTGTATTTTTCTTTAAGTTATGTTTCTAATCCAGCATTTGAGGGTAACCTTCTTAAGAATTCATCCACAAAACTCACGTTTCTTTCTTTTGATTTATTTCTATTCTTATCTTTTGTTTATGTTTTGTTGTATCGTGTCTTGCTCGAGGACGAGCAATACTTTAAGTTTGGGGGTGTGATAACTCTAAGAAATTAGAGTTATCTTATGCATTTTTAGCTTAAAGTTTACTTAGCCAAGAGTGTATTTCATTGTTTTCTTCTGTGTTTTAACTTAGATTTTCTGGGATTGCATTTTATCTTGCTAAATTTTATACTTGTACTGCTCTCGGGTTAAAAAGGAGTAAATTGAGTCAAAAAGAGGCTGAAATAAATTTTGATTTTGCAAATTGCAGGGTGAAAGCAGTAGCATTCTGCTACAGCATTTTAGGTGCAGCTGGCAAGTGGGATGACATCAGCGCACTACCTGATTGAGCCGTACCTCTTATCAAATGACACCTCAGCCTTTTTGTTGCCCTAGAAGGGATTATTTTTGGGAGAGAGGCAAGCAACCGCCAAGTATAAGAGGAAAAAAATAGAAGGAAATTGGTAGTACAATATGAGAGTCAGAAATTGAAAAAACCATAGACGTGAGAAAGAGCAAGAGAGAGAGTAGCTGAGAGGAAGACCCGAAGAAAAGGACAAGGCAAAATTCTAGAAGATCCAAGTTCAAGCTTATCATTGTTTCTTCTTTCTGTTAGCTTGATTCTTTTGTTATTTTGATATTGATTAAGACATGGATTATTTTGGAAATCTGGTTCTTGTAAATCTCAGTATGAACTAATTTGTTTTAGCTAGGCCTGCTAATGGAACCGAAGTTGTAAGGATAAAAGTTTGTTTATGAAATGCTATTGAATTGTTATTCTTGTTCATTCACGTATGTTAGTGCTTATTTCTATGTTTGACTGGCCATCAATTATAGGGTACTAGACTTAGATTAATACTATAAAGGTTAATTTGAGTTGGATCTAACATGGATGATGCTTGTTCAATAATCTTGTTTTAGTTGTTGATTAGTGAATGGTATAGGGATATATTATTCACCTTGCATAACCCAAAGAAACCTGAGCTTAGATATGCATTCTGAGAACTGGATTCACATAGGAATATGCTGGAAAAGGTTTGAAGAATTTTTAGTCATAATTAATTCGGAAGAATTTTATGCAATAAAAGAGTTTCTGTTGACGGGGGTGGTAATTGCTATAGCATTTCTGTAACATTCTCTAGCAGACTTGCAACTGAGGGGAAATTAGTAGACGTAGCTCATTTAAATCACATATTTACAAACCATAAATACCTTCTTGCTATTTTTAGTAACTTTTGATTACATTTATTTTGTACCCATTTCTTTACATTATTTTAGTGAATTTTTGTTCAACTTATTCTTTACTTGATTTGTTGATTGCATAACTTCCATAACATATTTTTTGTGATACAATCCATGTGGGATGATATCTGTACTTCGGTACACTTTATTACTTGTACGATATGTGCACTTGCAGATTCACATAACATGTAACCTTCCCCTCCGGCGCCAGACGAAAAGTTTTTCTGCTCTGGAGTAGCTTCCTCTAGAGCTGGCAAGGATTCGTCTCCGTGGCAGTTGTTGCTCCGAAGGCGTCATTATGGACACCCTCATGAAGGCGTCACTGCAGATGCCCTCACGAAGATGCTTCCCATACTCCAAGAGACTCCTTTGTGACCGAAGATGCTTTCCATGATCATGAAGATACTTCCCATGATCACGAAGATACTTCCCATGATCAAAACAAATTAATTTTATTTATCTTTTTTTTTTGAAGTTAAATAAAGTATGATTTTATTATTGTCATGACCCGCTGCCAACCACCTACTATGTTAGGCCAGCGATGGATCGTGATGGGGAAACATAACGTACATACATACGGTGGAATGCAAAATTTATAAAGTTAACCATCTAACCGTTTTGTTTTGGTGAATGTTAATCATCTTAAAGGTAATTCATGTTAGTGGGTCGTGTTCGTGTCAATTCGTTTATTAATCGTGTTATAAAACATTAACCCAAATATGACCCGTTTATTAAACGTGTCAAAAATGTCAACCCAAGCATGACTCATTTATTAATCGCATTAATCTTATCAACCTGCATAACCCATTTAAATTAATATATTGAATAAATAACTAATATAATAATGACTTATTTAACATGATCATGGCATGTTTAACATGTTTATTAGTCAATTTATCTTTTTTTTAAGAAAAATAAATGAATTTTACCTAAAAATAATAAAATTCATATTATTTGTATTTAATATGTCATATAAACTTTCATATTATATCACATATTATTAGATTACAGATGACACATATAATTAATCGTGTCAATTTATGTCACTTTATATTAAGAAGTCAACTATAACCCAACACATTTATTAATCGTGTTAATCGTATCAATCTGATTATGACTTAAACTCATTTATGATAAACTCAAATTCACTAACTTCATACAAATTTTGAGTCGAATTTCATATCATAATCCAAATTGCCGCCCCACCCACTTTCCTTCGTAAATATCTCCAAAAAGTGCAACTAAAGGCTTCATAAATATCTCCCAGCATTTGAGATAAAGTGAAATTGTCACATTCCGGTAATGCTATCATCATTCTAAATGTTTATTTTCACCAATCACATCCTTGAATAGGCGCACTAATACATGGTACAAATGTCTTTAGAGAAATTTTCAATTGGAAATGATGCCAAAAGAATAATATTGTCCATTTATAATGGAGTATTGTCTCTCCTAGGGCAATCATTTTGACACTTTCGCATAAACTCCTCGGCCTCAAAGAACACCAAAAGCTGAATTAGGTTGTAAAAGGACAAAGGTGAGTACGAAACAAGTAAAAGTAGCAGCTAAAAACAAGTATAGATGATTGACACACAATCTCTTTTAGCAGGGAAAAAAGAAGTAAAAATAGACGTAATAAATAAGAGAATGTCTTTAGTAGGCTGTCTTATGAGTAAAATTAATTTTTTAACAATTAAATTTGATCAAAATTAAATGAGATTAAGACATCATTTATTTCATCGATTCGAGTTTTCAGTTTTAGATTTTTACAGTAAAAAGTTCTCAGAAAATATCACATCTAACTTTTTCTGCTACAGTGAAAAACTCTTAAAAAATATCACATCTCAACTCGAATCTACAAAGTGAACGAGGGTTAAAAAAATATGACAAGAAACAATATCTTGATGCAAATCTAATAACTTAAAAAAATAAAACTATCATAGTTTTATTTTTTTTATCCTACGGAGAAACTCCTAAAAAACAAACAAAAAGAAAAAGAAACTTCTTGATGGCGTGTCATGTTTAGCATATCTTATCCTTTGATTTTATGAAAGTAGCTTCTTTCATATCATGACATAACGAAAATTAGAAATTAGAATTAGTATGTGACACCCGTGAAATTGAATAATGTGTTTATTGATAAACTACTAATGCTAATGATGCGATATCGTGACATAATTACTAAAATATCTCATGTTGGGATGTATAAAAACAATTAATTTTCTTGGTCTAATCCACTGAAGAATTGAATATTAAACTTGTGCAGAATCAGATAACTAGTTGGAGAGTGCTGCATACGTCCGTATTAGTTTGTTGAATTTTTTATACAAAGATATTAAGTTTTTATGGTAGTAAGTTCCTTAAAAAAATATTATTCACCCTTATAATAGAACTATATATGTAACCAATTAATAAGAAAACACAATTGTAAAAACAAAACATTGAATAGGTACGTGCTACACACATTTGTAGTAGATTATCGAACTTTTAATACAAAGATAATAAATTTTTAAATGCAACTTCTAAAACTTCTAAAACACCCCGCTATATTTTGTCTGAATACCATTTTGTATTTATTACGGGTAAATAGATGTTTACTAATGAATATGTTATTCCCTTCCATCATCTCAAAAATATGTTATTTATTTAAAAATCGTTTAAAAAATATGCTATTTACTATAGTTACTGCTAATTACTGGGTTAAGTTTTAGTCCATTATGTTTCTCATTTGTAATCAACAACTACGATTAAAAAAGTAAGATGATAAACTATTTGAGATTTTGTAGTATTAGTCATTTAACACTGAAACTTAATAGAAGTAATGTCAAAGATGTTGATGTAAAATGTTGCGGCGAAAATGTATCTCTTATTTAGCTAAACTAAAAAGTGTCACATAGTTATTTTTTTCTTTTACACTCGATACCATGTTTTACTTATATATTTATTGTATGCAGAGTCTAACAATAATTCACATCTAACTCTGTCGATCTTATGACGTCAAATTCATATCCCAAGTTATTAAAAAAAAACCAAATTGCATGGACAACAATATTATAAACGACAACGATAAGTGATTAGTGGAAGTACCTGTGATTAAACCTAACTACCAATTAGTTTTGACAATAATTAACACATTTGAGTTAAAGAAAAAGGTTCAATTTGACCATTTAAAAAAATACTAACATATTCATCTAAGGCAGCATGAAGTAATTCAAAATTAATAAAGCTCACAAGTGGCAAGCTAATGACAATTTATTGAACCTTTTTTCATGTTAATTGATGCATTAATGTAGTAATTAGGGTTCTAGCTTTAATCAATGGAAAGAAGAATTGATATTAATCTGAAATTGGAAAAAAAATAATCTTATACAAAAAAATAAATTTTTATACGTCCTAGAAATTCCAAAAAGAAGATACTAATTTATAAGAGAAACCATGATTGCAATTTGCATGTATATGATATGATCAAACCTTCTAGCCAAACAAAAATTAGTGCTTCTTTTGCCTATATACACAAGAAATTTCTTCACACATTGAAATGAACTCATAAGGAATATTTTACCAAATTCTCAAAAACCTCTTCAAAACAACCATTCCTCATTGATGGGGTCATTCATGACCCGATTATTTCAAACTGGTACCACCGGACTTTTATCGTCACCCTGGCCGGTGCCAGAGTTAGGACCGCCTTGTTGATCACCACCGCTGCCACCACTGGCGTCAATCATGCGAACCTTGATCCACTCGTTCCTCAACTCATGGGGCTCAACAATATCTTTGACCCCGGGTGACCGGGGCGACCCGAGACTCAAACTCCTCTGCATGGTGCCGAACCGGGTCCGGTTATCACCCGACTTAACTCTCCACAGTCTCATACCCGAATTTTTCAACACCTCCAAAGACTTATCCTGAAGTTGAGGAAATATTTTCCTCAACAAATCCCTCCTTCGGAAATAGAGCTCCCTTAAGAACTCCACCAAAGCCAACAACCTCGGATCAGAAAATTTCCCAACTCTGGATTGAAAGCTGTAGTAAAAATCCTCACCGTCCATTTCTTCCCGTGGGTAACATTTTCCCAACAGACCGCTTTCCAACAACGACATGTCGTCTTTGGCGCCCCAGAACCAAGATGAACTACTAGGCATAGATTGGTCTTCTTCTGAAACCACTTCTGGATACCCTTCTGTCTTCTCCATGGATATCATTACTATAATATTGAAGGTTTGGTTGAAGAATTATGGGATGTTTGGTTGGAGGATTCAAACCATAATTTGAATTATGATTTATGGTTCGCTACAGTATTTTTTTTTATAAAAAATACACGTAAATCGAAAATGATTCTAATCACATGATTCTAATTCATGAATCAAACGTCACATTAATATCAATCGTTTGCAAGAATTTTGGAGAATATTATTGTTGTAATTTGTTAGGCCTCGGAATTAAGCACAATATATATATATATATATATATATATATATACATATACATACATACATACATACAGAGAGAGGGATCTGGAAAGTATACATAGATTCCAATTAGCGAAAGCGTGATCAACTTTAAGTTAGGAAATATACGCGTTGCTGAATAGGTATAATGGTTTCTAGATAATATTTGCTTAAACGTCTATAAATTCGAATGGGAACACAGACAAATCCTGGCCATACATTTAAAGTTTGTGAAAGTCAACCGACAGGTGTATGGTCACGATTGGGCTTTCCTAGAACCTATTGCAGCACTATGTTATATTAGAGGAAGTAATATTGATCAGCTTGTTGCTTGAAGAAATGGGTTTGGACTTCTTCTTAATGACTATACTGTTGAAGACTTCGGACCTACGTAACTGGCTTTTTCTGACATGTGTGCTTCCTCTTCAGGGGAAATAAGAAAATGTCGACTTGGATTAGTATTAAGATATATATTTTGACCCGTTTATTTTACCGATTCGAGTTTTATTACAATAAAAAACTTTAAGAAACAGTCACATTTAACTTTTTTACTACAGTAAAAAACTCTCACATAAAATCACATTTTAACTCGAATTAAAAACTCAAATTAACGAACTAAACGGTCATTTATGTACAGTATTAAGATATATATTTTGTGTACAGCCTAAACGAAAGAAAAGTGCTTAAGTTAAAAGGTACTTAGTTATATACGAAAGCATATGGCCTGTGGGACATGGATGTTAGTTACATGTACAAGATACGGATGATACATGCGTGAGGAATTGGAAATGGAAACCAAAATTTGTACTTGCTTTTAGCTAGAGATATATAACACAAAAGTTGAAGAGAAACAAATTAATTAGATTAAAGTTGCTTGACGTGCTTTGGTTGTGGCAATTGTATGTGTTTCTAGAAAGATAAAATGTGGACGTAAAATAACTGGGATAAATATCATATATATATATATATATGATATATATGATGTAACTATGCGCTATATAACATCGTTGGTATGTATGTGTCACATTCAATTTTGCTTTAGTGTAATATTCATTAAAATAGTCCAACACGTGTAACATTAAGTGTTACACAGACGTAAAAAAGTTTTACATGCACAAATGAATCATATTACACGTACATATGAAAAAAATTAAAATAATTAGACTATGCGAGCGCCAGATTTAATAATTTAAAGGTTTTGTTTATGGTTCTGCCAGTAGGACAAAACTGCAATGTAACGTATAGAAGTGAAAAATGAAATATGTGTTTAATGTAAGATTAATGTTAGAAATGTGCAATAATAATTTGGATAAATTAATTTCTTAGTGTTGCATGTTCAACCTCAATATTACATGAAATAAATATTATGTAACCCTTCCTATTAATTTTTATATTTTACATGAAAGTATGGCTATAGACAATATATATATATATATATAATAATAATTTTATAAATCCTCCAAACTATTTGTTTTATACTCTTTAAATTCGGTTCATTTTACCCCTCTCATTTTACATAAAGCATTTAAAAACCGCCTCCATATTGGTACCCTAAATTATTAATTGAAGGAAGTATATATAAAATCTACATTCTAATTATTTACAAACAAAAAATGATACACACGAGTCTCTACTATACAGCTTAAATGCTTTCCTTTATACATCTTTGAATCAAAAAGAATAAATTGTCCATATCCTAAACTATAGGATATAATATTGGCAATTCGAAGCCATATGAACAAATAATTAATCTTGACAAGACAATTAGATAAAAGATCTCGAGGCTTTCAATATTATTTCTTACATATTCAAGGTAAGAACTTCAACTGTGATGTTGAAGCAAGCTGAATTAGCGTGATTTAATTTTGATTTAGAATTTGCAGCCACAGAAAGTGACAAGAAATATGAAAGGTGAAGCTTGTAATCTTTTTATGAACTGATGAAGCTCGCACCACGTCTGGACTTTCTATCGTGCACCTGGCGACCGGAGCCACCTTGTTGATCGCCGCCACCGGAGTTAATTGTCCGAACCTTCATCCACTCGTACCTCAAAGGCGGTTTAACTTCTTTGAGTCTGGTCGAAGAACTCTACCAATGCCGGCAACCTCGGATCATACAACTTCTCAAGTTTGGAATGAAAACTATAGTAATTAATAATAATAATCCTCACTGGTAACATTTTCCCAGTAGACCACTTTCCAATAACGACATGTCGTTTACGCACCCCAGTACCAAAAAGAACTTGGCATGGCTTGGGCTTCCGTCATATTCTATAATTTTTAGAATGCAGGAAGCGAAAGCCAGAATAGAGTAACGCTAGCCACAGGTTTGATACTTGTGAAGTGGGATTTCTTACCATATCCTTTGTGAGCCTGTTTTCAAAGAGTTTTGACATTGCAAATGTTTTAAAGAAAGAGCATGCTAGCGAAAAAAAAAACATTTTAACCCCCATAGCTTGTTGTAGTTTTGAGAAGTATAATGAATTGTTTCATAAAATTTAATGAATGATTTCATAAGATAAAAGATCTTGCAAATCGGTAAACCGGCTAATGGCCTAGATAGGATGCGGAGAGTGCATACTTGGGGGCAAGACCCAAAACCCGGCCCGGGGTGATATGGCTTGTGCATATGGTTGTGTAAGTAATTTATCATAGTATAAATTACTTGTTGATGCCTGTAATACGGAGATTTTCAGTTATATTTCCTTTGAGAAAAAGGATGTGAGGTTTCGGCTGTTGTGTTTGAACTGAATGTTTATATTTATTCAATTACTTATTCATTTATTTACTCGTTTACTCATTTATTTACTTATTTACAAAGTTATTTCAAAATATATTATACTAGGCCTTTCGCTCACGTTTTATTGTTATATAAATATTGACCCCTCTCAGGCGACTCTAGAAGCAGTGCAGAGTAGCTGAGTGAGTTGCTACCACCGGATTTGGTGAGGATTGTGTTCATCCTCCATGTGTACGAATGTAAGAATTTGTAAATTCTGTAAACTCTGAATATTTGGATTTCTAGACTGTGGTTGATGTCTGTAATGTTATTTACGTGCTCATGTATGTACAATGATGCGTATCCTGTGGGTGAAGCCCTGAACGATGTGAGAGGCGAGAGTTTTAGCCTCGTGAGATGTTCTTGTAATTTATTTTCGACAAAATAGTAGGGTTCGTTTGGAGATTTCTTTAATATTTCACTATTGGTTTTAATTATTAAATGTTTAACACCTAATCAAACCTTCACGTCACCGATCCCGGATTCGGAGCGTGACATAATATTTTCCCAATAAACCACTTTCCAATAACGACATGTCGTTTACGCACAGCAGTACCAACAAGAACTTGGCATGGCTTGGTCTTCAGGAACAAGTTCTGAATACCTTTCCATGGATGTTAATTTTTACTATTATATCTATATTCCTGTATAATTGTTAAAGTTCGAGAGCATATTCTCTGATTTTGTTGAATAACATCTAACAAGTCGCTTGAGTGTTTGACTGTTGGTTTGGTTTGCCCTCAGAGTCGTATCGTGCATGTATGTATTTATGTGTGTATGTATATATGTATGAATATTTATATATAGTGACTGAGTTAAGATTTATTTAAAGAATAAATTTTTTTTATTAAGATTATATTAATGTTTATAGACTTAATAAAATTGAATGTTTTATTTTCTAAAAATTTAAATAATTAGTCCAATAAAATGTAAAGAACTATTAATTTATGAGAGAATAAATCTAATTTATATACATATCTATTACATTAAAATAAAATTATTATTATTATATATATAAAGCTAGGGGAGCGAGAGAGAGATTTGAGATTTGAAGTTTATAACTTGAAAGACTAGTTCATTGATTATTTATTGGTTTTTTTATATTATAGTTGGATCAAAGTACAACATCTCCGAGCGAAAACTTGGTCAACTTCAAGCTAAGAAATGCGTAGTTTAGGGATGGTTCATAAATTTAAAATTATAATTTAAAATTATTCTCATTTTACGTATATTTTTTTATAAAAAAAATACTATAATAAATAATAAATTATGATTTAAATTATGGCACAAATCCTCTTTAATCTAAAATGATTTCTGGATATATCACATCCTGCTATTTGTGAGACATTCTTCACTCCCATAAACTCTAATAGGTTAGGAACAGACCAATCGTGGCCGTACATTTGATTGTTTGAAAAGTCAATTACAGGTGTGTGGTTGCTATTTGATTATCGTACAACAGACCTGCATTCATTGGCTCTCAATTTGTGAGTATACTAGTTGAACTCCACGGGAGAATAATTTATGTCTTAAGTTTCAATTATTAATTTATTATCCAAACCATATAAAAGTTGAATATAAAATAAAACAAAAGAACCAAACAGGGAAAAAAAAAAAGCAAAATTTTAGGGCAAAATGGACCAAAATGAAAAAAATAAAGTTTCAAAAAAAATTTAAAAAAAGGTATAAAAAGGATCAAAACAAAAAAAAATAAATTTTAAGATAAAAGAAACCAACTCAAAAAAAAAAATTAGGACAAATAAGAAAAGGTCAGAAAATGACTAAAATGAAGAAAATAATAAGTTTTAGGGCAAAATGAGCCTAAAAGAAAAAAGATAAAGCTTCAGGAAAAAAATATCAAAAAAGGACCAAAATGAAGAAATGAATTTCTTTTAGGTGATAACTCTACAAAATAGAGTTATTTATTTCTAATTTTATGCAAAAACAAGCTTAATTTTTGATATTTT